AACAGTTTCAAAGATTTTATTCTTGTCCCCTAACATGAACCCATTTAAAAGTTATTGCCCCTTGTGCGAAAAACCTTGTTATCGCTACTCCTCCGAAACTTTAGACCGTAGAGACACCAAACCTTCACTAATGTCTTAAGGGTCTTTAGACCTAACTTCACTGTATAGGTGCAAAAGAATCTGATGACCCCTTGTATGAGTTATTGCCCTTTAACTTCTTTATACTTACTATTAAACCTTGTATCTTGAAAACTATAAATGGTAGAAGCATGGGGCCAACTGCATTGAGACTCGTGACCTTTGACCTTGAATATTTTGTCAAGGTCAAAGGTCAAGGTCATTGCAAAAATGAGAAATTAGGCTCTTTTTATATATCCTTTGTCTTTTAACATATGCAATCAGTCTTTGCATCATTAATATGTACACTTAAAACTATTTCAAAGATTTCATTCTTGTTCCCCAAGATAGACTCTATCAAAAGTTATTGCCCCTTATGCGAAAAACATTGTTATCACTACTACTTCAAAACTGTAGACCGTAGAGGCATGAAACCTTCACTTATGTCTTAAAGGTCTTTAGGCACACCTTCATTGTATAAGTACTAAAGGATCTAATGACCCCTTATATGAGTTATTGCCCTTTAACTTCTTTATACTTACTATTAAACCTTATATCTTGAAAACTATAAATGGTAGAAGCATGGGGTTAATTGCAATGTGTCCCTTGACCTTTGACCTTGAAAATTTTTTCAAGGTCAAAGGTCAAGGTCATTTTAAAAAAATTTTTTTTTTTTTACATTTTCATTTTTTTTTCAAGCCATTTCCCTTAAAATTAAATTTAGAGTGTAAAATATAAAATTATAAGAAATTTAAAAAGGTGGAAAGACCTCTTATTGTTCTATGAACAATAAGTCTCCTAGTTATTTTTTATTATTTTTCCGCCGTGTGATTTTGAGTTTCAAGATTTATTGAAAAGATTTTAAGTTCATAAGAATGTACTCCGTAAAAGATTTTTGCAGTTGACCCTGCATATATGAACTATGACCCCTTTCAGAGTTATTACCCCTTTCGCAAAAAAGCTTGTTATCGCTACTCCTCCGAAACCGTAAACAGTAGAGAAATGAAACCTTCACTAATGTCTTCGACTACTTTAGTAGACACTTCATTGATTCATTGCGAAAGTATTCATTGACCCCTTCAGTGAGTTATTGCCCCTGAAACTTTTTGAATTTTACAAATAATTAAAAATTTTCAAAACAAGAAGTCGTAGAGACATGGGACTAACTGCATAAGATTCATTGACCTTTGACCTTCAAATTCATGTAAAGGTAAAAGGTCAAGGTCATTCCAAAAATGAGAAAATTAGCTCTTTTTGTATCTCTTTTGTCTTTCAACATATACTTAATGTCTATGCATCAGTGATATGTACTCTTTAAACTGTTTCAAAGATTTCATTCTTGTCCCCTAAGATTAAACCTTTTAAAAGTTATTGCCCCTTGTGCGAAAAACCTTGTTATCGCTACTCCTCCGAAACTGTAGACCCTACAGACACCAAACCTTCACTAATGTCTTAAGGGTCTTTAGACCTAACTTCATTGTATAAGTGCAAAAGAATCTGATGACCCCTTATATGAGTTATTGCCCTTTAACTTCTTTGTACTTACTATTAAACCTTATAACTTGAAAACTATAAGTGGTAGAAGCATGGGGTCAATTGCATTGTGACCCTTGACCTTTGACCTTGAATATTTTTTCAAGGTCAAAGGTCAAGGTCATTCTTTTTTTTTTAAATATTCATTTTTTCTATGCTTTAAGAGAGTTTTGGTTTCTTTTTCATGGAATTTAATTTTTAGGAGTCAGATATAAAACAGAGTTCAAAGAAGGTGGAAAGACCTCTTATTGTTCTGTGAACAATAAGTCTCCTAGTTCTTATTATTTTTTATTATTTTTCCGCCGTGTGATTTTGAGTTTCAAGATTTATCGTAAAGATTTTCAATTCATAAGAATGTACTCCGTAAAAGATTTTCGCAGTTGACCCTGCGTTTATAAACTACGACCCCTTTCGGAGTTATTACCCCTTTCGCAAAAAAGCTTGTTATCGCTACTCCTCCGAAACCATAAACCGTAGAGAAATGAAACCTTCACTAATGTCTTCGACTAATTTAGTAGACACTTCATTGATTCATTGCGAAAGTATTCATTGACCCCTTCAATAAGTTATTGCCCCTGGAAGTTTTAGAATTTTACAAATAATTAAAAATTTTCAAAACGAGAAGACGTAGAGACATGGGACCAACTGCATAAGATTTATTGACCTTTGGTCTTGAAATTTATGGAAAGGTCAAAGGTCAAGGTCATTCCAAAACTGAGAAATTTAGCTCTTTTTATATCTCTTTTGTCTTTTAACATATACTTAATGTCTATGCATCATTAATATGTACTTTTAAAACAGTTTCAAAGATTTTATTCTTGTCCCCTAACATGAACCCATTTAAAAGTTATTGCCCCTTGTGCGAAAAACCTTGTTATCGCTACTCCTCCGAAACTTTAGACCGTAGAGACACCAAACCTTCACTAATGTCTTAAGGGTCTTTAGACCTAACTTCACTGTATAGGTGCAAAAGAATCTGATGACCCCTTGTATGAGTTATTGCCCTTTAACTTCTTTATACTTACTATTAAACCTTGTATCTTGAAAACTATAAATGGTAGAAGCATGGGGCCAACTGCATTGAGACTCATGACCTTTGACCTTGAATATTTTGTCAAGGTCAAAGGTCAAGGTCATTGCAAAAATGAGAAATTAGGCTCTTTTTATATATCCTTTGTCTTTTAACATATGCAATCAGTCTTTGCATCATTAATATGTACACTTAAAACTATTTCAAAGATTTCATTCTTGTTCCCCAAGATAGACTCTATCAAAAGTTATTGCCCTTTATGCGAAAAACATTGTTATCACTACTACTTCAAAACTGTAGACCGTAGAGGCATGAAACCTTCACTTATGTCTTAAGGGTCTTTAGGCACACCTTCATTGTATAAGTACTAAAGGATCTAATGACCCCTTATATGAGTTATTGCCCTTTAACTTCTTTATACTTACTATTAAACCTTATATCTTGAAAACTATCAATGGTAGAAGCATGGGGTTAATTGCAATGTGTCCCTTGACCTTTGACCTTGAAAATTTCTTCAAGGTCAAAGGTCAAGGTCATTTCAAAATTTTTTTTTTTTTTTTTACATTTTCATTTTTTTTTCAAAGCCATTTCCCTTAAAATTAAATTTAGAGTGTAAAATATAAAACTATAAGAAATTTAAAAAGGTGGAAAGACCTCTTATTGTTCTATGAACAATAAGTCTCCTAGTTTGTAATAACTTTTTTTATGGTTGCCCAATCAACTTCAAATTTGGTATGGTAGTTCAGTAGGCAGAAATACATATTTTGATGCTAATTAAGTTTGGTTCTCTATGTCTTCTGGTTTGGAGCTGGGGTGGTGGGGTAGATTCCTTATCTATGCACAAGAATGAATGGGCAAAGAAAGATAATTGCTGAGAATGTTACCTTAATTGTGAAATGGGAAGGCTGTGCAATTTGTTCTTTGGGATTAATTAACCTTCCACATGAAGAAAATCCTGAGCATTATCTTTATCTGTCACATTGAGATTAATAACTGTACCGCCTCTGTCTGCAATGAACTTTGTTTTGAAGGAAAGGTCAATTTTGAATGATGCACATTCTCTGAAATATGGATTTAAAATCATGTTCATACTTTATTTTTGGTTAAAATACTGTACACAATGATTTATGATAATTTAATTTAATTCTAAAATCAAAATATTTCAGCGGGGCCCTTGCTGATTGGTCAGTTTTCTAGTTTATGGCATATTGTAACAAATATGAATGCCCTATCAGATATCATCCAAACATTTTCACTAAAGTTGATTTTTATTAAAATAAGATCAAACATGGAGTTTAAGATCAATGGGTCAGAAATCATAGCATGCACATAAATATCTTGGTCAGATGTACTACACGTGTCAAATATAAAAAGGCCTATCTCTTCTCTATCAAAACTTATAAGGAAAAATAACAATTTTTGAAAAGTAGGTCCAAGGTCATAGGGTCAAAAATCATAGTGTATTTAGAAAGGTATTACCACATAAATGTAAAAGGTGAGTGCCCTAAATCTTCTCATTTAAAAGGTAAGACCATGGTTAAGTTTTTAGAAAAGTAGGTCAAGGTCACAGGGTAAAAAATTATAGTTATGATCTTATGACTGTTAAGAATTTATGCCATTGTACTCAAAGATTTGGTCGACTGTTGCAATGCAATTCGATAAATTGCTCACTTTGCAAAAAAATTTAAAATGTGTTTAAATTTCATTTTTCAAAGGTATTTTTCTTGAGCCAAGACCTTCACTTGTGTACCAACAATTTTTACCCTTTGACCTTGACTTTTGAGTTTGACCTACTTTTCAAAAAAAATCCAATCTTTCTATTACTTTTGAAAAGTTGATGCCAGTGATTTCACATGTCATTGTATATTAATTGTGAAAGACCTATCTTTCGTTGCCAACAATTTTGAAGCTTTGACCTTGCATGGAGATTGGCCTACTTTTGAATCTCGAATTTCGAATCTAGTATTTCGAAATTTGAATCTCGAATGAGCCTTCTAGGCTTTCGTACTTTAGACATACATTTCAAACCAAGGGGCAAATGTAGAAATTTAGAAATTTTATAAAGAAAAGAATGATGGTACATATGAACATTGTGGCTAATGCACCTCTTGTGTTCTTTATAAACAATCAATGAAAACTTAAGAAAAGGCTTTGAAAATTGCTGAGGAAGAGTTGAAATTGGATGCACATATTTATGAATTGATTAGAATTTGGAGTTTGTCTGTTCTATGCAAAGATTGTTGTGTACCTGTCATCCTTACTAAGACCATAAGATTTGATAATTTTGTTCTTCATTATTAATATAACAATTTTTTTTTAGTTGAATGCAGTAATGGAACCTTTTACAACAGTACAAGTCAGAACTGTGAGTACTGTCCAGTGGGAACATATGGAGATGAGCAAGGATTGACATCATGTAAATCCTGTGGAGATGGAAAAACAACACTGGGCGTCGGGAATTATGACATTGCTGATTGTGTTGGTAGGTTTTTGCTATTATTTTACACAGCATAATTTTACATATGTCCCCCATTACCATGAATGTATAAAGTAGTTAACAAATTCAAATAATTTTCTTTAAACATGCTGAGATATTTTTAACTTTACTGTTTTTACCCATGCACTAAGATTAGATTGAAGTCAGTCCTAAATTGTAGAAGGGAAATTGATTCCAGGATCTATGTTAACTTTTTAACTTTATAGATAAATAAAAACTTATTAGGACTGGTGCTTTCATTTATTAATTATATATATCTGTCTTTCTGAGGTGTTGCTAATTCTAAATTGTTCAAACACAGCCCCCAGGGTTATGTCACATAACAAGGGAGAAAATCTGGTGAAAGGCAGTAGAGCTGAAGCTACTTTGGTGAGAGTTGTGGCCCATGGGCCTCTAGTATAATTTAATGGAATATGTTGCCATGTATATTATGTCCTGCTCCAAGTAAGAGGGAGTACACTATTTTGTCCTTGTTTTTATGTCCATCCACAACAAATTTTCGTACACATTTTTTGTCACAGTTTTCTCAGCAACTACACTTGGCTTCCTAGATGCTTAAAATTTAAGCACACTGTTTTGTCATGCTAAATGGTAGGATTCTTTTTTGTGAAAATCCATGTCAATTAACTTCATGTATTTGTGTGTTTGTCTATACCAAATTCAAATCACAGCAGGGGTATTACTAGTGAGCATATGCTCACCGACTTCTTATTTTTCAAAATGCTACTCCTACAGATTTGGTCTGATTGTAATATTATAACTTGGCACACAAGTAGTCTATTACACTAAAAAACATAATTCGGTTTATTGCTGCTTGTTCAAAAGTTTCAAATCAAGTGATACTTTTTTATCCATACAAACCAGTAGAACTACAGTATCATCAGATACCTTTGGTTGTTATGTATGAACACTGTTGCCATGATTACTAAAAATATAAATTTCTATAAAATACTTTCAAATTGCTACTTCTGTTACAGTTTTGGTTTGATTTCAAGATAACTTCACACACAAGTTGACTCCATAATTCTATTTATTGCAGCCTGTTGAAAAGTTTCAAATCCAACTGCCACTTTATAGCTCACCTGAGCTGAAGGCTCAAGTAAGCTTTTCTGATCAAATTTTGTCTGCCGTCCGTCTGTCTGTCCATCTGTAAACTTTTCACGATTTTGAATTCTTCTCCAGAACCACTGGTACAATTTCAAACAAACTTGCCACAAAGCATCTTTGGGTAAAGGGTAATTTAAATTGTTCAAATAAAGGGCCAGGTCTCTCACAAGGGGAGATAATAAAGAAAAGACAAAAATAGGGTGGGGTCATTAAAAAATCTTCTTCTCAAGAACCACAGTGTCTGAAAAGCAAAAGGTTAAATTGAAGCATCCTAGGGAAGTGTAAATTCTAAATTGTTGAAATCATGACCCCAGGGGGAAAGGCGGGGCCACAATGGGGAATCAAAGTTTAACATAAAAATATATAGGAAAAATCTTTGAAAATTTTCATCTCAAGAACCACTGGGCCAGAAAAGCTGAAACTTATGGGGAAGCATTCTGGGGTAGTGTAGATTCTAATTGTAAAAATCATGACCCCAGGGGAAGGGCGGGCCACAATGGGGAATCAAAGTTTTACATAGAAATATATAGGAAAAATCTTTGAAAATTTTCATCTCAAGAACCACTGGGCCAGAAAAGCTGAAACTTATGTGGAAGCATTCTGAGGTAGTGTAGATTCTAAATTGTTCAAATCATAACACCCCCGCCCCCCCGGGGAAGGGCGGGGCCACAATGGGGAATCAAAGTTTTACATAGAAATATATAGGAAAAATCTTCTCAAGAACCACTTGGCCAGAAAGGCTGAAACTTGTGTGCACATGGAAGGATCCTGGGGTAGTGTAGATTTCAAAATGTCTTTATTATTATCAGTGGGGTAGGGTGGGGATGAATGATGTATTACAAGGGGGAAATCTGGTAAAAAACAGAATATTAAAAGCTTCTCAGGTGAGCGATGTGGTCCATGGGCCTCTTGTTTTGTTATACATACAGACAGTCTTGTCAGAGATTGGTTTTCAGAATGTTTTCCATTAGTAGTTTTATTTTGTTTGAATAAAACTATGTACAACTAAGAGAGATTAGCATTAGATAAGAGGCAGATACCTTAAAAATACCTATAGTTAGTACACAATCTTAGCATTATCTGTTCTTTGTCAATAGTTTTGTCTTATCAGTTGTTATTTTTCTCTGTATTACAAACAAAATATACATCAATTATTTTTTTTCAGCTGAGTGCCCTGTTGGACAATTTCTAAATGGTTCCTCATGTTCCCTCTGCCAGAAACACTTTTACCAACACATGGCTGGACAGGACTACTGCTTGCCTTGTCCTCTGGGTAAAAAGACAAGTGGAATAGGATCCAACAGCTCCTCACAGTGTTTTGGTTGGTATCTTATTCTGAACTTGAAAACAATATCATTTTTTAAATTGATTTGATTATTTAATTCTAGGGGAAATGAACTCAACATTTAAAACCCAATTTATAAATTATGCCAATATGAATTAAGGATTTAGATGTATAACAGGGCACTTCCGGTAAAAATGACGGCGTTTGCCGATGATTGCCGATGTCGTAACACTGTTTCTGTCGAAGCGTTATCGAACGTCGTAAACAAGCATGGCTCTTCGTCAACACGGCTTGATAGACGCTGGCATTATTCATGCCGTCAGATGAGAGAAATATACTTAACAGAGGAAAGAACAAATGTTAGATTGATAGAAAACCATGATATAGTAGTTTTGTTAGACAAATTGCTGCATAAACAATCTTTACAAAGTAAAATACATACTTGGGTTTTTCCATGTTCTAAAAATAGCACATCTTTTGATGTGTAGAGAAAATGAGGTAATTTTATTTATTTATTTAAACTATGTAATATTTTAGCAGATTTTCGTTATTTCTATTCATTTTTCAGTAAACATAGTAAAGAAACACATGGAAGTGTGCATCTATAATCAAGTTTATTCGCTAAACTAGATCTAGACCGCGGTTACAGCTATAGATCGGTACATGTACATTTAGTCCGAAAAATCTGACGTTTTTCTGGCTTTTTTACGATTTTGATATTTTACATGCCAGGAAAACGTCAGAACCGGCGCCATTACGAAAACTGGGAAATCGCCGCCTCCAACCGGAGGCGGCATTCAGAGGTTGATTTTCGATACTTGTAAACCGAATTAAATGCTGAATTCACATATTATCAATAGTACAAAACCTTTAGTACTCACCAACATCGTTTTTATGTTTCGTTTATGAAATAATATAATCCAATGAACATATTTTTATCTGACTGTCGAGATTTGTTTTCATTTCGTGCATTTTAAAATCGTGCAAGTTCTGAATCGGAATGTGGAGTGGTAATTTCTATTCATCACTATTGGTGAGTTCTAGTAGCATTGTGCCATTGATAAATTGTGATTTCGGCATCTAATTCGGTTCCCAAGTATAGAAAATCAACTTCGGTTGAAGAAGGTGAAATTCCCAGTTTTCGTAATGGCGCCGGTTCTGACGTTTTCCTGGCAAGTAAAATATCAAAATTGTAAAAAAGCCAGAAAAACGTCAGATTTTTCGGACTAATGTACATTGTCATTCGTTTGCATAAAAAAAATTCCCTGAGTTTTCTCTGATGAAAAAAAAAACATTTTCTGGACATAACAGATGTTTTTTTGTTGTATAACTACATGATTGTATACTAAGGTTGTGTTTCCAAATAAAAAAAAAATCTTCCTGGTTCTAAATTAAAGGTTTATAAAATACCCGTAACAGAGAGGAAATTAATAAAATAAAAAAATTTTAAAAAAGAACAAAACTTTGAGAACTAAATTATTTCTACTATTATTTTAAAAAAAAAAAAAGAAAAAAAATAGGGAAAACACATTTTGGTTTTTTAATCTAGGTATTTATTTCATAGAGAAAAAATAGATGGGGGGGGGGGGGGGGGGGGGTCATAATAAATATTTATATTAAATTGATTTCATTTCCATGATTTTTGCAATTCTCTGTACATATAAGGAAAAAATACCATACTTTTTTAACTAACATAAGAACAAGATTACATGTACATTTTTTTTATCTCCAAGAATTGTTCTTGTACAAGTGTATAAATACTTTTTTTTCAAGGTTAAAAGGTCAAGGACATTGTTAAAAATGTCATAAGGCTTATTTATTTATGTTGTTTTATACACTTATCAATATATAAGTATGGCATAATCATACTAATAGTGTTGAGAATGAAAAGTTATATTTGTGTGTCAGCATACGGATACTAAAATTGGGGGTAGGGGTAGTAAATGCTTAATTACTCCAAAATATCCTGGTAAAAAATATTTTATATATCTTATTATTGTACAACATTGATTAGAGTCATTTTCTATCAAAATAATTTTTAGCCCACTCTTTTCTTTTTTAATTAAAAAAAATTAAAAATTAATTGTTTTTATAGGAAATACACACTTAGCATTGAGTAACGTGTTTTAATCTGGAAATTTTATTAATTAATTGTAACTTTTGAAAAAAAAGTCTTTTATTATGAAGCGTCTATGTTATTTTTGTTCATCTAAAGTAAAATTACAGTCTGAAAATGAGTTTATTTCACAGAATTCCTCTTCTGGTATAACACACCCTTCACTGTTTCCGATAGTGGGGGTATGATTTGAAAATTCTACTTTTTAGCTCACCTGAGCTGAAAGCTCAAGTGAGCTTTTCTGATCACATTTTGTCCGGCGTCCGTCTGTCTGTCCGTCTGTCTGTAAACTTTTCACATTTTCGACTTCTTCTCAAGAACCGCTGGGCCAACCAAACTTGCCACAAAGTATCCTTGGGTGAAGGGGATTCAAGTTTGTTCAAATGAAGGGCCACGCCCTCATTCAAGGGGAGATGATTGGGAATTAATGAAAATTTGGTGGCATATTTTAAAAATCTTCTTCTCAGGAACCACAGTGCCAGGAAAGATGAAACTTATGGGGAAACATCCTCAGGTAGTGTAGATTCAAATTTGTTCAAATCATTACCCCCGGAGGTAGGGTGGGGCCAAAATGGCCGACCAAAGTTATATATAGAAATATATAGGAAAATTCTTTAAAAATCTTCTTCTCAAGAATGACAAAGCCATAATTCATCACATTTATATGGAAGCATGTTCAGGTAGTGTAGATTCAAGTTTGTTCAAATCATGACCCCCGGGGGTAGGGCGGGGCCAAAATGGCCGACCAAAATTTTATAAAGCCATAATTCATCATATTTGAATGAAAGCATGTTCAGATAGTGTAGATTCAAGTTTGTTCAAATCATGACCCCCCGGGGTAGGGCGGGGCCAAAATGGCCGACCAAAGTTTTACATAGGAATATATAGGAAAATTCTTTTAAAATCTTCTTCTCAAGAATGACAAAGCCATAATTCATCATATTTAAATGAAAGCATGCTCAGGTAGTGTAGATTCAAGTTTGTTCAAATCATGACCCCCGGGGGTAGGGCGGGGCCAAAATGGCCGACCAAAGTTTTACATAGAAATATATATATAGGAAAATTCTTTTAAAATCTTCTTCTCAAGAATGACAAAGCCATAATTCATCATATTTATATGGAAGCATGTTCAGGTAGTGTAGATTCAAGTTTGTTCAAATTTTGACCCCCGGGGGTAGGGCAGGGCCAAAATGGCCAACCAAAGCTTTACTTAGAAATATATAGGAAAATTCTTTAAAAATCTTCTTCTCAAGAATGACAAAGTCATAATTCATCATATTTATATGGAAGCATCCTCAGGTAGTGTATATTTAAGTTTGTACTCATTATTACCCCCTGGGGTAGGGCGGGGCCAAAATGGCTGACCAAAGTTTTACTTAGAAATATATAGGAAAATTCTTTAAAAATCTTCTTCTCAAGAATGACAAAGCCATAATTCATCATATTTAAATGGAAGCATGCTCAGGTAGAGTAGATTCAAATTTGTCCAAGTCATGACCCCCGGGGGTAGGGCGGGGCCAAAATGGCCGACCAAAGTTTTACATAGAAATATATAGGAAAATTCTTTAAAAATCTTCTTCTCAAGAATGACAAAGCCATAATTCATCATATTTATATGGAAGCATGCTTAAGTAGTGTAGATTCAAATTTGTTCAAATCATGACCCCCGGGGGTAGGGCGGGGCCAAAATGGCCGACCAAAGTTTAAAGATATATATAGGAAAATTCTTTAAAAATCATTTTCTAAAAAATAGCAAATCCATGATTGGTCATGGGAATACTTTTGGATTGAAACTTTACAATAAAAAGCCATTTTCCACATTTTTTTTCTACCCT